TTCATTTAATTGAAAATGCATGTCTTGAGTTTAGTTCTAACTCAAATGGATGCACTTGGCCCTTTTCTTATTTTAAGTTCATAGTTATTGAAAAAAACATGTGCAGAGTCCAAAATCTAGCAAGTGGCTTTACTTCATTCTGAGTTTAGAAAATGATCTGATTAAAACCTGCTTTAAAATAGAAATCTAGACATCCCCCGGCACCAGCTGATAGAAATCCACGTCTCTGGTTCCATCCTCTTGAAGCACAGGAGATCCTTTCTCACATCCCAGGTCTCCTTCTCCACCCCTCTTATTTAAAACCGGTCAGCAGGTCCTAACAGGTTTATTTAATCTGCACTGATTAGTCATTCGATTAAAGCAGCCCTAGTCAAACAGGCGTCTCCTCCCAAGTGTGGGGCAGGAGGTTGGCTCGTGTGACTCAAGGTGGAAGACAAAGCAAGTCCACTCCAGCGCTTCCCTGGCCTGCACCTCCACCTACAACAAAGCGGCAAGAACTGAGTTGTGAGGATTGAGCGCAGTCCCGAGCAGGGCTTTGAAGTCCAGAGGTGGTCTGCGTGGGGTGGGGGAGACGTGCGAGCAGGGCACAAAGGGGGAAAGTGGGCCAGCTAGGCACACCCGCTTGCATAACCACTACCTGTGTGACATCAGGCAAGTCACTCACTCTGTGACTCAGTCTCCCCAACTGCCAGAAGATGAGAGTAATGCTTGACAACACCAACTCTCGCGGAGGTACCTAAGGATTACTTAAAAACACAGCAGCCTTGCAAGGGTGGATTCTGTTTATAAGATCTGCCAAATTCGGAGATGGGGTTGCCCAGTGTCTGTCAAAGTGGAACAAGTAGCTGGAAGGAGCAGAAGGCTCTGCTTATTATCAAGGGCCACCCAGTGCCCAGCAGGCAGTGGGTGAAGAGGAAAGGGAAGCTGAGAAGCTGGTAGCGGCTGGGGTGCTACAAAGAAAGCACAAAAGACAATCATTATTTAATCCCTGGTGGCAGGTGACCTAGGTCTTTGAAAAACAGGGATGGACATACACATGAGTTCATTCATTCCGAAGTACACACAGTGCCCCTGTGTATCCAAACTGAAAGTGTTTGGGTGGTTGCGGTGTAACCTTCCCTCCGTCCACCACCCGCCCCCATCAAAAGTTCACTTTAGAAGGTTTTGTTAGAGGAAGGGCTGGGAGACTGGCCCGGGAAGGCAGGAGGGGTGGAGACTGCATAAACTGGACGTCAGGGGGACACAGAACCAGAACGTCCAAGAACCACAGCCTCCCAGGCACGTTGGCCTGGGCTTCCCGCATGACAGGAAGAACCGCAAGTCCACTGGTCTTACCGGCATCCGAGCCCGGCTGAGGCCTGGGATCCGCCCTGCCCTCTGCCCAGGACGCGCCCACGCTCCACACCCATGGCACTGCCCTCCCCTGTGCCCTCCCCTATGCCCACCCCATGCCCGCCCCAGCCACTCCGCTCTGGCACGGAGTGTCCTCAATCGCTCGGGGCCAAACACCACACAGAAGGTGAGAGCTGGATCTTTTCTGTTCAGTCTTTATTTACAGCAAAATACATGATATGTGGTCATTTTGTAACTACTAACAATAAAGGTGGGGCGGTAAAAAGAAAAGGGGGGACAGCAAGCATCTGAACAGGAAAAAAAAAAACCTAAGTCTTTATTGAGCTGCTCGCCCTGCACCTGGGCAGCACTGGGCAGGCACTCCCTGCCTCTGAGAGCCACAGAACAGCTGATGCGGAACGCCAGTCCCCTGGCACAGGGAGGGCAGAAGGACAGACACAAGATTAAGGGGGACTACGAGCTCCAGATGCACCCCAGGTGTGCCTTTCCCAGACTGCTCTTTTCCTTGTTTTGTCTGACACCGAGAATGTTCCCCCACTCTGCCCTGAGACAGGGCGGGGGTGGTAGAGAGGTCGGTTGGTCCTTTCCAGAAGCACAGTCCTATACCCCAGAACCTACCCTGGTTTCTCCCAAACCAGCCCAGTTCCTTGGCGCTGGAATCTTTAACAGGCACACAGGAGACTCCAGGGCAGAGAAAAATATTTCCTTCCAAGAGGCTACTTCCTTCCCACAGCCTTGGGTGCTGGCGCAGGTTGAGGTCACTGGATCAAGGAACCTGCACAAGGCCAGCAAGGGAGGTGATGTACAAACCAACCGGGCTCCAGTCCTGCTGTCTCCCTACTGCTCTGGGGTGCATGCAAGCCTCCAGCGTGACCCAGTGGCCTAACAGAGACTGGCCACCCACCCTGGGTGTGGCAACAAGCATCCAATTCAAAGCCCAGGTGAGGCGGGTAGCCAAACCCCAAGATCGCTGAGCGGCCAGGAGCAGAAGGCGGGTGATTAGGTCAGTTCCGAGGAAAGGTAAGCTGGGGACGCTTCCCCTCTCGCCTCCCCTGGCCTGTTCTACAGCAATCCCCTGGTTTAACCCACTGCCTTTCCAAGGGCCTACCCGCTCCACTCCAAATCAAAGGATAACTAAGGTCACAACACACGCGTCCTTCTTAGACTCCCAAGTGTCTGCTCACAGTGGCCTCTGGCTGCCTGAAGTAAGAAACGTGAGCCAGCGGAAGTTCCGCCAGCCTGGAGGAGCGTGAGGCCGGGCCTTCCCATGACACGACGCTCGGATGTTCTGCTTCCTAAACACCTGGTCCACGCACAACACCTGAGCAGGGGGAGAAGCAAGCACTGCTGGGCGGCTCCGAAGCCAAGGAACTCCCGTCACTCACGGCCATTCTGCTCATCTGTGCCCCCTCCCCAAACAACGAAGAGTGCCTAGATGACAAATGTCACGGTTCTGGTCTAATTCTACCCCTGACTCTCCAAGGAATCAGAGATCCAGAACCTTTTAAAGAACTAAGACCACGATCTGTCCTACAGAAAGCTCACATGCAGATACACCACAGGCTAGACACTGGGTTGCCACGGAGGGGCAGAGCCTCCCGCCCCTTCCTTGCCCCAAACGCGGTGTGTCGCAGAACCGGCAAGCACTGCTCAGTGCCCCTGATCAAGCCACCAAGAATCGGTGATCACTTGAGTGGGAGCATGTGACAGAAACCATCAGAGCTGTTTCCAAGTTAGGAGTGGGCTATGCAGAGACACTGGGGGCTTGGTCCCAACACCACAGGTAGATGAGGAAGCAGCTAGGTGAAGGCTCAGAGATGAGAGAGTCCATCTTCCGAGGCAGTGGGACAGACAGCCAAGGCACTAAATGGTTTGGCACCTGGGAGCTTCAAGTAGAGTCGAGCGTGCTACCCACGGAAAGGCCAAGGCTCTCCCGGGCAGGAACGGGCTTCACCCGGGCACAGACAGGCCCCGTCGAGGCTGGGCCCTTGTGTCCTCAGGGTGCTAACCTAGGCCTGCCACCCACCCTTCATCTCAGAACTGACCAGGCCATGACCACAAAGGTGATAAAGAGCGATCCAGACACACACACTGCAGAACGTGCCCGCCCAGATGAGTGCCAGCTTCCAAAGTAGGCACCGCGGGGCCTTCCTTGCTCCAGGGAGGCGGCTGCTGTCGTCAGAGGCTCCCCCGGCACCTGCCGCCAGACTCCTGAGTGCCTCGGGGTGGCAAAGCTCTGCTGGGGACTACGTTGGACTTTTTCAAAATAGCAACACAGACTTAGAGTTGATTCCAGAAAAGGGGAATCAGACTGGATGGTGCTGAATACAGGGGAAATTTTGGTGTAACTAGATAGTAACGGAGACAGATTTACCTGAATGGCTCACACAGGCTCTGAGAGTAACGGAAGGAGAAGGTTCTCCAAAACGTTTCCGGCAACGGCAGCCACAGCGGAACAGCTAAGGGTGTGGGCTGCCACGCACTAGGATGCTAAACACTGAAACAAAGTTCCTGGCTCTTCTGCAGCTAGAAACTGAGGCTTAGGACTCTATCATCGCGCCTCCTCCATGCAGCTTGGTCCGCCCACTCTCTCCACCCCTCCACCCAGACTGTCAGCAATCTGTGCTTCCTCCAGAGAAGTCTCCACCAAGAGGAAGCTGTCGGGAAAGCTAGAAATCTCCACTGCAAATGTTTTCAACCCAAGACTTCAACGTAGGTACCCACGACTTAAATACTCTCCTTTTAAATACTTTCTCAGACATGACAGCAGGCGCAGTTCCGCTCCCTCCCTCCCTGTGTCTATCAGGACGTGATCCCACAAAATCCCTGCCAGGGCAGGAAGACAGGCAGCTCTGGCGCCATGGAGAGGCTGAGAAGAGACAGAATAACGAAGGCGTATTGCACTCTCGGAGCAGCCAGAGGTGGGGGCAGGGCAAGAGGAAAATGCAGAAGACTTGTTCTCCTCAGCGGGCCTTTTCCCTGAGTTTGAATTTTGAGTTGAGGTCTTACCTAATTTCAACTCAAAAAAAGATAAGAGTATCTCTCATCGACGTATCGTTAAGCTCCGGCTCCAAGAAGGTGGCATCTGATGCCGATCGAGGGTTTCAAACCCCATTCCCATGGCGCTCCATGGGCACTCAAGAGCAATGGGGCATGAGCCACCCTCCTCCACCCACCACACGCGCAGACGTCTGAGCCCTCCCCACCTGGAACGCAACAGGCACCTTCCCTGTGGTGACAGGCCAGCTCCAGTGCCCAAACACTCAAGTCCGGGCCCTCCTGCAAAATACTTACGGCAGACGGCTTTACAGTATTTGTACATTTACACAAAAATAGATCCTTTTTATATATATAGATATATATATGTATTTATAACTGGTTACACGTTGGATTCATAATTAGGCATCACCAGTAGTAGTTGGCACAGTTTCGTCATTTAAGCTCAGGGTCAAGTTCTGTTTCATTTTGCTGTTCCAAAATACAAAAAGGAAAAAAAAAAAAATCAAAGAGCTGAGCGTGGTGGCTCACACCTGTAATCCTAGCACTTTGGGAGGCCCGAGGTGGGAGGATCGCTTGAGCCCAAGAGTTTGAGGTTGCAGTGAGCTATAATGATACCACTACTCTCTAAGCTGGGCAACAGAGCGAGATCCTGTCTCAAAAGAAAAAACAAAAACGAAACAAACCAAAAAAGAGGCCATTCTCTCTTCTGAGGATACCAAGAAAAAAAGAAAGAAAAAAAAAAAAATCAAAGGCATTTCATCTTCATGGTGTGTTCTTAAATACAGCCATGTCGTAGGAAACCGTATGTACAGATGAATGCTGCCTCCTGACCTCTCCTGCCTCTCGGAGACAGGGGCTGGGGTCTGCAGGAGATGGGGTCAGTGAGGTCGGCTGCTGGACTCCGATGCCTGCCTCTTGCGTGAAGGGGTGTAGCCGTTGAGATAGCCGTTGGTCTGCCGTTTAGAGAGCCCTCCATTTAGGATGTCCTGGATGTGCTGCACGATGAGGTTGATGGCCACTGTGGGGCAGAGACCAACAGCGTTAGGCGCAAGCGCACACACTGCGAGACCGTGAGCACGGGTGTCTGTCGGGGTGAGAGGACACACAGGAACCACAGGTGAAAGCCTTCCAGGGGAAGCGGCTCTGCCAGGCAACCTCCAGGTGCCTCCCACTGGGCTGACAGAACCCGCCTATGAGGCAGGTCCTAAGGAGTGAGACAGACAACGCCTCGCACAGAGCAAGCCCTCAGCGAATGGGCTTCTCGTCAGACGAGCAGACTCACCCCCGGAGGAAGCCATCAACCAGAACTCTGCAGACCTGGTGATCAGCCCCGGTTCCAACACCCTGAGTTAGCTAGGAGACCCTTCTACCGGGGAACCTACCAGCTTTCCATCCCAAGATAGAGCGACCCCATGGAAGGTCTTCTCCCCTCGCCAAAAATAAGGTGGAGCTATCTTTTATAAACATTAGAAATAAATTATACACATCGACCAAGTGATCAATGTTATCACACCAAAAATGGAATAAACATCAAGTGCTTTCTGATATGACAAAGAATAGCAGCACACGACAACTCCCCTATGGTATTCCTCCAAACTGTAGGAACTGAATCTAATCAAGAGGAAACAAAGGATGAGCCTAAACTGAGGGCCATCCTACCAAACAGTGGGGCTGTACTCTTCAAAAATGTCAGTGTTGTGGCGAACAAAGGCAGGCTGAGGAACACCTCTAGGTTAAAGATTCTATCAATAGTAAGTTTCCTAGATTTGATGACTGCACTGTGGAGAAGAATGAGAATGTCCTTGTTCTTAAAAATATACAGTGAAATATTCATTGCTGTGATCGATTCCCAAACAGCTCAGCAAAAAAATAAGCTTTTAAAGGGAGGGAAACTGACATAAATTATAAAGAGAATAAGAAGACAAGGTCCTGTCTTAGACGTCAACTCTGCCACACTATGCCTAGTCCAGAGATATTCATACTTCCCAGACAAGCAAAGAAATAAATATAATAATGGTGGCAAACAGCTCCCTTTAGGAAGGACTACCAAGATGGCAGGCCATTCTAAATTAGATCAAGAGGAAATATACTTTTGCTAGAAGGTAACTTCAGATGTAAGGTATCCAAGTGTCATCGCTGGGGAGGGAGTGTTCCTCTCTCCTTGATGAAGTAGTCTATAGCCCTCTACTTCTGCCCGACAAGCACAAGTTCACATCTGTCCACATACAGGTAGCCACATATGCCCAGGGGCCTGTCCCCAAGGCCAGATGTGCAGGTGGAATTGCCTTTCTGGCTCACAATCACAGACTAGTGGTGCAGCCAGGTCTACAGAGCCCATCTGGTCACCACATCCTGTCCCACGTTATGACTGACAAAGGGCAGAAGTTATATACCACAGGATGACACCCCGCCAGGACTCACCTAGATTATCTGCCCCTCTGGGGATTATCACATCAGCGTATTTCTTTGTCTGTGGAGAAAGACATTTACAATGCATCAACAGAGAGATGTTCAGAGACAAACTGGCCCAGGCCCCTCTCCAAGGGAATGTGGGGAAGGGGGCAGCCTAGCACGAAACCTGGAATATAATGTTGTTTATAACTTCGTAGTGAATGCTTCTGGAAACCTGGGGAAACTAAGGAAGTGCCTCGTTTAGGTGAAATGTGAACGAAAGAAGGGAAGCAGGGAGGGAGGAGTGAAGACTTTACGTATCAAGGAGGGAAAGTGGTCCAGGCTGAGTGGTTAATTCAAAACCAGTTTAGAATTCAACTATTAATTATCTACCATGGCTTTTTATCTACATAATAATTTAACTTTTTCTTGAGTTCTATTACATTGTTTCAGCTTATGACCTACACAGAGAACATGATCTTTGAAACCATACACTTAATTGCCTCTACAGCATTAGGAAAAATAACGAATTAGAAAAACCCAAACTTAAATGGGGACTGGTTCACCTTGGACTTTCACACAGTCTGAAAGGTGTTTATTCACTCCTAGCGCAGGGCTAAAATTATGACAAGTCATCTTCGCTGATGACCAGTTTCACTGGCTCTGTTATGATACTATTAAAAAATAAATAAATAAAGCCAGAGACACATTCTCTTACCCCTTTTTTCATTTCAAATTTACTCAGCCGGGCACAGTGGCTCACACCTGTAATCCTAGCACTTTGGGAGGCCAAGAGTTCCAGACCAGCCTGGGCAACATAGCGAGACCCTGTCTCTACAAAAAATTAGCCCGGCCTGGTGGTGCAACCTGTAGTCCCAGCTACTCAGGAGGCAACAGAGCAAGACCTTGTCTCTCAGAAAAAGAAAGAAAGGAATAAAAAAGGACAGAAAGAAAAACTTCCTTGAGATTTTTGGGGACCATTCTACAAATAACTACATCCTGTCATACAACCTAAGTTTAGCGTAAAGACCACAAAAATGACACCTTGAGTGTGTGGGCACCCTTCCTTTGTGCAGCTTCCATGCTAGAACTGTTGAAAGAAATGTAAGTGTCAAGCCCAAACCCAGCTGGAACGAAGCAGGTCCAAGTTCCTGACTTCACAGGGGAATGAGCTGGTCTTCCCTGAGTAGGGTGGCTACACAGTGCGGACAAGCAGAAACAGCCCAGAAAACATTTGTCCAGAATTCTGAGCTCCATTACAACTAAATTAAATAGCAGGAAACTGGCAGTTTGCTCTAACTGATAGCCAATAATAAATGTACTTTGTATTCTTATTTATTAAGTTAAAAAGAGCAGGAGAGGTCTTCAGATAGATAACGGGATGAAAAGGATTTTCTGGGCCTCTTCCCAGTAACCTAATCTTGTAACCCAGTCGTTTTCCAGGGCGATGAATCAAGCACCAGGGTTACTCAGCTGACTCAGAAAGCCCATCTGTCCTGATCTGAAACTGAGTCTGTTTTGATATAAAACCTACTAACAGACTTAAAGAAACGAAGACAGTTTGGGATCCTATTTTTCCAGGAGAGGAAAAAGAAAGAAGTTAATTATTGGAATAAATGGAGCAGGTCCCATACCAGGGCCTTACTCTTAACCTATTCTCAAAGTCTTCAGATTGCAGCCTTCCCCAAAGACCTCACCCAAGACAGGTGAGACCCCAATCTCCCTCCCTCCCTCTCTCACAGCTTAATTATAAATAATTAAGGTGTCACATCATGGTTTGACTAACCTAGAGAAGACACGTAACTGAGGTGTAGGACTTTCCTGAGTTAAATACTTCTTCCAAAACTAGGTTCTCTCTCACATCTTCCTCCACTGGAACCCCACCAAACCACACCTCGTCTCTGGTGCCCTTCCCTGTCTTCCCCCAGGAAATAGAGGGCACTTCCTGGGCTGGGGGCTGATTTGATGAAAAGCTGATAATGCGCCCTTTTCCCTCCTTCCTTCTCTGAAAACCACCTCCCTAGGGAATTCCCAGCTGCCATGGGGAAGGACTGGTAAGTCTGTGCCGCAGCAGAGGTAAGGAAGCTTATGGCACGACATTTCCCAATCGGGCCTTACACAGGGGCCAAAGACATGCTCAAAGCAGGGCTCACCTGTAGCGGTGGGAGAGGTTCAGAAGGGCACAGCTTGGGGCAGAGCCCTCAGTGCACCAGCACTCCAGCCATCTCGGACCTTGGAGAGACCCAAACGGCTGAGCGCGATCCTCAGACATGAAACACCCTCAGTAAAGGGTCTCATGCCATGACCCCACCAAGCGGGAAGTGTAGAATTTGCTGGGAATTAAAGAGCCAGCCTAAGGACTGGCAGGACCTGACAGGGCGACCCCAAGAAAAGACAGCAGGATAGAGCTCCCAGAGAACTTCGCGGCAGGATAAAGGACCAAAGGCTGCCCTCTCTTGGGACTTCAGGACAGAGGGCCACTCAGAGAGAGGAGTGAGAGTCAATTTCCCCATGACTCCATCAACCTACAAACCTTCGCATGTGTCATTAAACTGTAAGTTCTACATTCGACAAAAACAAACGAAGAACACAACTCACTGGCAAGCAGAACTCCTCAAAGGCGGGCTTGACGAACGTAATGTACTGAGATAAAATCTGCTCGAGGTCCCTGCCTCTTTCACTGATGTCCCTCAATACTGTAAGAGAAGGAAAAACAAGAATCAAGAAAACGGTCCAAGATTCTGCAAGTATCCGCCCTCTGCAAGGCCGGCCAGGCTCCCACCAGCTCCACAAAGACCCCGGATGATCCACAGGTGGGATTCCTGGGAGACTGCACGGAGAGCAGATCAGCAGCAGCTTCGGGAAGAAGTTACATGTTTATAGCTTACGATGGTCAAATTCTGCTGTGACATAATGGTCTCTGAAACGAAAGGCCACCCAGCCAAGGCCCACGGCCTTCTTGTTTCACACAGGATTTGACCCAATCATAATTTCAGTGAGAACCAAGGAAGGGCAGGACCACCTGGAGAGCCCAGAACGACGGGAGGCGGCCTGGGCTTCGGCTGCCCCCTCGCACTCTCACCTGTGCTCAGAAGCCAGTCCAGGGACCCACCGCCCAGGCACCCCCTGCTCCCAGCTCCCCCCACACCAACCACGAGGGGCGGGGGCCGCAGAGGACCCAGCTGCGGCTGCCACTCCCACGTACATCAAGCTCTGAGGTTTGCGAACTGAAAATCACTTAGAGAGGCTGAGAAAGGAATGGTGGGCCGGGGCGGTGACAAAGCCCAGGTTGACACAAATTCACCATCTTCTCTCTGCTACCTGCTTCTTCCTGGTCAGGGACGTTCACCAGATGACTTTTTAAATTTCTTTTTTCTCTAGTCTTTTGTGAAAAATAGAAAGGAGACTGATCATCCAGGTTCTGCCAGGTACACTAACCTCCCTAAGCCTCGGTTTCCCCTTTTAAGTACTGAGTTTGCAAGGAGATTCTATCGAAACAGCCCCTCCCTACAGATGTCACTTTAAATCTTACCGCCTGAGCTGCCAAAATTTTCACCCCCACCCCAAAAGGTTATCGTCTCCATCGACAAGGACCGCAAAGACCCTTCAGCGCCTTCTCAACCATTTCTGAGTTATCAGACTCAAGCGTGGGGTGAAACGCACTGTAAACAAACATGGGGAATGTTTGTGAATGATTTCTAGAAAGCCAGGCCTGTAAATAATTTTGTGTTTATGCACACCTACACATGTATGTGTTTATACACACACACACACACACACACACACACACGGGCAGGGACAGGGAAGGAGGGAGGGTGTCTCTGTTATGATGCAGACTGACATGAAATGCAGAACGTCAGGATGCTACAAAACTGTCAGGAAGAGCACATTCCAGAAAGCCAGGTACTAATGCTACCAATCATCTGACTTTTATACCAGCTCCGAGATTTGCAAAGTGGTTTTTCCGCAGGAGCCCTGGTAATAGTAATAAAATGGGTAGTTGGTCCCTCATGTGTCAGGACTTGCCCACCCAGCCGGGCAGCGGTGGCTTCTCCAGCTAGGAAAGCGGTTTTCCTGGCATCTGCACACGGGCCCTGCTCCTGCGGCTGCCCCGGCAGGTCTGCTGCGGAGACTCGGCCAAGGAGCAGCCCGAGGACCTGCCACGTGGCTCGCCCTCGGAAGTCCTGGGAGCCCTGGCACACGGAGTTAACGAGCTCGACACGGCCAAAACACACAGCAAGTGCGGCCTCCAGTCCTTCACATGCCTCCAGATAAAGCCCACAGGAAAAAGGAAACCAGATCAAAAGGGTATCAGAGCTGGGGAAACACACACACACACACACACACACACACACACACACACACACCCCAAACTTGAGCAGCTTTTAATTAAAGCCCCACAGTTAAGGAAAATACCGATGCCAGGTTTGTTTTACAACATGTTTCTTCACACAACTGCTGACAGCTTTAGCACCGTAGGCAGCTTTGTCATTCTCCCAGCACACGGGCACACACGCGGGGGCGCACACACGTGTACACACACACACACACGCATACACACACTGTCACCCAGCCCTCCTCTTGCCCTCAGCCAGGGCCTTGACACCCTTATATCTGCAGACCTAGTGACTTCATCTTTTGTCACTGGAGAGAAGAAACTGGCCCTGCAGCAAGCAGGTGAGTCACAACTAATCTGCCCTGCAGCCCAAAAGCTAACTATCGGGTAACCCTGAACTAGACCTGAATCCTGACCCCAGTAACTCCTACCTGTGACCCTGGACAAGCTACTTAACCTCTTTGAATCTCAGTTTCTTTAACTGTGAAATAGGCACAATAATGGTATCTTCCTCTTAGATGTTATTTAGGAATACAGGGAGAGTGTGGAAACCTCGGCACAGCAGCTGGCACGTGGTACACATGCAGTCACGTGTGTTTCTATGATGACAGGATGCCAACAGAACCTAAGGAAGCTTCAGGAGCATGGTGGCTCCCTGACAGGTGGCCCAATGCAGCGGGAGGGCAGGAACCATGGACTCGGGCCCAGCTGGTGGGGGGCAGCCATGGGAAAGACTACTGCAGGGCAGCTGGAAAGGCAGGGGTGCCAGGCAGGAGGGGATGGCAGGACACAAACACAAGGAAAGACAGCGGGAAGAGGGAGAAACGGGGAAGGTAGGGAGGAGTCATCCTACAGCTCCCACTCTGGAAGAGGAAACAGGAAACGGTCAGAATATTGCCCAGGCCCTGGGAACACACAAAATCAAAAGGCACTGCCCACCTCTGTTCCCCAAGAGCTTTTGACAGAGCTATCGCCTTAAGCAATCTGGGACCCCTCCTTGAGCCAAGGACAACAGAGGGCCAGCCAGGTCACTGTACGGAAAGGCCCTGCTCCTCAGGCAGTCGGGAAACAGGGTCGGGCAGGCCAAGGACTGCGTCAGAACAAGGTCTTAGCACAAACTGGAAACTCCAAGGACTCAAAACCAGCGCGCACATCATCACCCTGACTCCAGCACACTTGCTGGGCCAAGACAGGCCCGTTCAGAGGATGGGCTAAAGGGCGGGAAGCCACAAGTCTACCCACATTCCCTGCTGGGCTCTCCACTTCAGCCTTTCCAAATCCAAATAGCTCGTTCTGGTTAGCCAAAGCCAAGGACAAAATTTAGAAGGACCCAAAATAAAGACAATACCTCGATGGTGAAATCCATTCACTTTAAAAATTAGATACGAAGCGTGTTACCCTGTAGTAGAAGAACAGACTGAAATCACCAAAGGCCCAGCGCAGCCCATTTCTACACCAACAGGCACAGGGAATGGCGCGCTGGGGAGACAAGGTGTCGGCATCCCAAATCCCCCGCCCGCTTCCTCCCTGCCCCGTGTTCGAGGGTGGGTCAGGGTAAAGGGTGCAGAGGGCAGGGCAGGTGGGCGTTGCCGGAGACCAATCCCTAGAAGCGCAAGGGGGGCCGGCAGGAAGGAGGCACGTCTGTCTCTCCAGGGCTGCGTCACTCACAGGCAGACCCCGCCCACACAAGGGTCAGCTTGGAATGCGGGGATCCCGTGCCCAGGAGGGTGGGTGTCAGAAACACAGGGGTAAATAATGGAACTAACTCAAACCTCCAGGAATGTCCTCAAGCCCAACAACTGCTCTGACTAACCCTCCCCACCCCATAGCACACCCCCACTCCACAAGCACACGCCAGGGATGTGTTATTCTACGTGGAGAGAGAACGAATTTGCAAAAATAGCACGTGGGAAAGTCCCAGGAGTCCACCAGAAAAGTGACCTGTCCCAGGGTGACGTGTGAAGTCAGCGGACCTGAAACAGGAAAGCAGGTCCTTCCCTGGCAGCACCGGGGAAAGCAGGGGTGGCAGCACTGGCCTAAGAAACCTCAGGGATGGCCACCATCACTGGGGGATGTCCCCCACTTCACATAAGGATCCCGGGACAAGAAAGAGACAGAGAATGCTCTGTTTAATCTACCCGTGATGATCTGTTTTAACCAGACACTAAGATTCACTTACTCAAACCTCGGTTTTAATCTCTGTGCATCCTCTTGCACCCTCTCCTCCGAGGCCTCCGGCAGCACCACGGCACCCCAAGACTGCGATCACCTACTGGGCTAACGATGGCATGAGCCCGGGTATTCCCAGCTCCTGAGGACAGGACCACACCTGACCCCCTCAGAGGTCCTGACAGAAAACGCAGGAAGACAGAACGGCACCGACCACCTCAGCAGAAGATCTGTGACCCACGACAGTTACTCATCCTCTAAGGCGCCACCAGGCAGTTCACCTGCATTACCTCTCATCTTCACAACTATCCCCAGAGTACTCATCATCAGACAGCATTCCAACAGGAAGATGAGGTACAAAGAGGTTAAAACACAATTCGCCAAGGTCACACATCGAGTAAGTGGTGAAACCAGGATCTTAGCCGATTATACTTGACTCCAAAATTTAGTTTTCCAAGTGTATCCTGCTGCCTCCCTAATTTGGCAAGCTACTGTGGACACTTGAGCAGGACAACCAAAGTAGAACCTGGCTTTGTGGGTTAAGGTGACAAGCCAGGCCCTGGGACAGAAGCATGGGGGGCTGTCAGGCTCGGGCTTCAATGATCTGTCCAATTAGACCATACAAGTCTTACCCGGCCAGAGTCACGACACTGAAAGCAGGCCTGTCTCCTCCACATTACCCATAAAGAAACTCAAGTCTAGAGTGACCCAAGAGGCCAGCCACAAAGCTAGCTGGGGCTCTGCTGGGACTGCAACACAGGTGCCTTCCACTCCCGTTGTTTTTTCCATCACATAGTACTACCTGTCCCCCACCTCACTTGGGAGCAAAGTGTCACTGTCACTAACTTAATGGAGTATGGATCCTACTACTACTTAGAAGAGCAAAACCCGGGACTTGTTTCTCTACGCTCTGCTGGCTCCATTAACAGATCTTGCAATGACAGTACTGAACTGGATAAACTACATGTTTGTTTCACGAAACAAGATGAGAAAATTGCCCAGACTTTGAGGTCAGAGGCTCTGGGCGAGAGCTTACAAAATTTCAATCTGCCAGTAATTTGCCCTGTGCCTAGAAGCTACTCATCATTTCCTGTGTCTCCCTCCCTCTTTCACACGACGAAGCTCAAACCTTAGTCATCTTCCACTCCTTTGTTCAGTCGCCCCCACTCACTGCCCCTGCTGGGTCCTGTCCATTCTAACGCTAATACCTTTCTCTTCTCTCCCCAACTCCCCACTTCCTCTCCCACCACCTAAGGACGACAGCTCCGCTCCTGTCCAGATCAGCTACCCCAGCTGCAGTCTTCACTTACATTTCGTGTCAGAACCATCATCCAACACAGAGCAGTGGCCATTTCACTTGCCTAGCTCAAAGCCCTGTAGTAGCTTTCTTCTGCCTACTGGAAACCAGATTAGAAGTCTTGGTCCCCACAACCAGGCCCCAAGCTACTTTCTATTGTCTCTTGGTGCAAACCTCTGTGCACTCCAGCCACCTGACTCTCTTGGAACAAGTCACTGTCGGTATCTGTGCCATGCGCCTTCGTGGGTCGCCTACGTCGTCACCCTACCCTACCACAAAGTCCTGACCCTCCCCCCCTTCCTCCACGAAGCTTCCTGATCTTTCTCTCTAGTAGAAGCAAGCTCTCTGCTCGATGTCCTACAGGCTTAATTCACAGGCTGGGCTCCCCAGCCAATGCAATTTCTGCGCCTTCAGCACACAGGGAGCGTAGGGCCTTAGCGCAGGCAGGCGCACACTCAGAGCCTGCAGAGGGGACGACCACGAACGAATGAGCTGGCTGGAAAGAGTGACAAAGCCTCCAGAAAGCTTTCTGGAGATAAGGAGCTAGCAAAGCAGGGTCACAGGATGGGCTGTCCAGTGCTGCAGGAACAGGGGTATCCTGTCCTCAGGCGTCCCACAGTTAGTCCCCCAAATCAAGATTTGGATGCTTTATGGGGAAATCACAAGGAGCTAAGCATTTAAGCAAACCTTTTCCCAACAAAATCGGAATGTCAACTTCTTATTTCATCTCCCTGACCAAAATACTATGTGACTAATCCCTTCTCAAATGTCAGCAAACGTCTGGGCAGCAGGCTGTGCCCTGTGCCCGCGCAGCTGCCTTGGGGAAGGCACAGGCTCCAGACTGGAGGGAGGGGCGCCCTGTCACAGGCTCCCAGCTCCCTGCCCCCACAGTAGCCACCAACAGGATCACCTGAGGCTTTTAGAACACACCTCTGCGGGAGAGCCGGGTGTCCGCATCTGTATCCACAAAAAGCTTCATCTGGAACAGGTCTCGTACCTCCTGCGAGTAGAAGGCCAGGATCCCTTCAAAGAGCACCACGTCTGCAGGGTAGACAGTAACCGTCTCCTCCTTCCTGCAAAGCAAAGCGCAGAGCAGGTGACGGCCGCACCAGGCAGGGGACAGCAAGGAAGAGGAGAACGAGGGCCAGAGCATCTGGCTGGGCTGAGTTCTGGGTTCCATCCCCCCTCGGACTTCAAAAGCAGGGGTGAAAAGCGCAGCTAGCTCAGCCTCACAGAGCCCCCAGACCACCACCGAAGAGTCAAAAAAGGGGCCATACAGCTGGGACAAAGGTCTCCTTTGACCAGTTCTTCTGAGCTTTCACCATAAAGCAGAAACAGAGGGCAGACATCCTTCTCGGAATAATAAAAAAAAAAAATCCTGCTGTTGAATGAAGAATAAAGGCAGACAAAAGCAGATGTGATTTCTTTTTTTCTCCGAAGGCGTCTCCAAGAATGCTCTCAGGCCTGGCATTTATGGAACCCAACACTCTGAACTTCAAAAACAGAAACTCACAGTTTTCTCTCAACCACCCCACTCCCTCCCCCAAGCCCTGAGGCAACTGAAAGGATGGAGGAAGGGAGGGGGAGGGGGAGAAAGGAGGGGAAAAAAGACAAGTTTTGGCAGAGAGGACACAGGCAGCATTTCCTCTGTCCTTTCAAAACAGCTCAGAGCTTTTAAAAATAAATAATAAAAATTATTGAGCAATAAATGTGCAGAATGGGCAAGGAGCCATACTTGGCTTAATATACCAGTTAGGACTCTGCCTGGGAAGTCCCCCGAAGACGCTTAGATGATTACATCATTCGCAATAACCTACTCCAACCACCTCGTTTGGCTTACGAGGAAAAGAAAGACCAGAGAAGGGTATCTGCAGAGAACAGGTGTCTTCTTAGTCTTAGTCCGGCGAAGTGTCCCTATGTTACCAATGCGCATAGGCGGGTGGGATCAGGTAACCCTAAACAGCTGGATGCCTCACAAGCAGGCCTTGCGATCTGGGGAGGGGGTGGAGAGGTGGCTGTGATACAGGGTGGTCAGGGAAAGTTTCTCAGAAGAGATGGGCTCTGGGCTGCTCAAGAATAAGGTTTTAAAGAATAAGGTATGAGACAAACCAGGAGGAAAAGAGAAACCTATGTGTACTGGGAATCCTGCTAGGATTGTCTTTTGTTAATACACGAACTTCGTGGAACTCCTACTGCGCAAGGCAGTTAGCTTCCTCTCCTCCATTCCCGGACCCTGCACTGGTCGGGCCCTGACTCCGGCCAGCCGCCCTCACTTCCACGGCCTTACCCGTTTCTCACTGGGCTGCTCCAAAGGCTCCTTCATAAATGGCACTGCAGATCCTCTCTCCTCCTGCCAGCAGAATGATCCTTCTGCTCCTACATTAGAGCCATCTGAGGCTCCCTAGTGCCAACACGCTTGTGCTCCTGGCCCTGCCGTCCACAGCCCTTCACAATCCAAGGCCTGCTTGCCTCCCCCCCTTCCAAATGCAGTTTCCTACCAAGCTTGCCCAAGCCTATCCCTGAAATGCTTCCCTACCCTTCACCTTGGAAATCACTTTCCCCAACAGTTTCCCATCCTTTCCAATATGAGGCTTACCCATCAGCTCCTCTGTACGGCCTGCTCTAAATGCCCCAGCTCTTCCCTCCTATACACTCTTCTGCAGGCCCTTGCCTTGGCTGTCATGCTGCATTTTAACTTTAGCAGGTGCCCACCCTGAACTTGGGAAATGGCAGGCTAGACTGTCTCTTGTCAACTTGACACCATCACCACTCCTTTCTAAGGGGGAACTACGATTCCCTGAATCCCCCTTCCCCTGTGCTTCCAGGTTATTTTGCCAACGAGAGACTTAGAAGGTAGGAAAATGAAGCAAAATCCATAATGTTCAGGAAACTGTCATAATCAGACAGGGAAACTTTGCAAACACTCCACAAGCTCCCACGCTGAGGCTGGGGCCCAGGCACGGTGGCTTCTTATACTTTTCCATGGACCGCAGCTCCAGGGCCTCGGGCTGGAGCCACTGGGGACTACGTTCTCTGATTTCTCTACACCCTTCCAGGTCTTCACTCCCCCAGGCCAATGTCTGCGTGAGCTCCAATTCCTATACTAAACCCCTTCATCCCTGCATGATCTGTAGTGGTTTGGTAGGAAAACAGGGAGGCGTAACATATGGTATCTTGATCTTTGAATCTCCCTCACAGTGGAATCTGGCCCAGAGTAGAAAGTGCTTCCGAGGATACTGGTGACAGGTGGGGGTGAAGAGGCCCATTCTGCATCCCAATGCATGCTCTGTCTCATCGCCCTCCTCCAGCCAAATCTTCCCCACACTCTCAAGTTCTGGCTCATGAGAAAAACACAGGATGCATGTGCCGCATTAAAGGCTGGCAGAGTTGCTCTGCACAGCTCTGAAGGAGCGTGGGCGTCTGGCCAGCAGGAGTACCAGCCTCCAGGAGCCCGTTCCCACCACTCAGAGGGAAAGAGGATGCGGTGGAAGTGTGGCCACTCCTCTATTCCTAACCAGGATCATTAAAATCAAGGCTCCAGTGGAAATGACTGGTTTGATTGGATTGAGAAACTTTCTGGAGGGTTTGGTTGATTCTGAGATTAGCATCTAGTAACTTCAAACCCTCACACCTCTGCAAATGGTCTAATCCCAAGTGAACCAGGAGAGCGGAAAGAACAACAGTTTTCTTTGTTCTTCTTCCTGCCCTTCCTCCAGCCAGCCCTTTACATCTTGTTCCAAGAGCAACAGCTCAGGGATGCAGATCAGAACACACGTGCAGTCCTCGTCCAAGCTCAGTCATGAACCTCCCGAGGTAATGAAGCATGATGACCGGACTGTCCCAGGAAGTGTCCGGATGAACTCCCCAACCCGTGTGCCCAACGGCATGTGCTGCTACCACTGTCCCACCACTGCTGGCTGCAGGTCTGAAGTGCTAGAGGTGGGGGTCTCAGCGCAGACTAGGGAGCAACAGGCAGTAATCCCAGCCCAGAACAGCTCACTTACCGGGAATGGGAGACAAAGTCGTACACGGGGATCTGGACTGTTTTCCCTTCAGTGATTTCTTTGAGTGTTTTGAAGATGAGTTCATTGTCAAAGGCATCTGAAGGAAATCAAACTGTTAAAGTGTTTCTTAATTTTAAAATAGCATCTCCTATAATCATGCACAGGGCATCCTCACAGCACACAGGTACACCACACCCTACAGCAGCACACTGCCCACCCAAGCTGGATTTCTACCGAAAGCAGAATGAAAGTTCCCTGTGTGTCGAAATGCATGTGTGAACGAGTTCTGACAAACTGATTTCTTTTCCTCTTCTTTGACATTCCATCCCTGGCTTCAGAAAGCTCTCTCCCCTCTCCAAGTTCAGCTGTTACCCCAGGATTGGCACATGATTACCTGGGAAGCATACCCATGACAGGGGGGAGTACAATAGGCACCAAGCCAAGAAAGTGTGAGTCCAACAATTACGATAAACCCAAACCAGCTAAAGCAGCAGTGTGCTGATCTGGGGCTGCAAGGCAAAAATCACTCGGCAGCCACCCCGACCCCTCCTCTCTTTTTCTGCCCCCAGCGAGTGAGTTTTGGTGCATGTGCCCTGTGCGCGCGCGTGGGGAGGAGGAGGGTGTGGCACGGATCAGGAGGCGGAAGGACCAGCTGTGTACGTTGTAGCCTACGTCTGGCCCTCCTCGAGTCACAGGCTCATACAGAGTCGCTTTGTCTCGGTACAGATTCAATCGGTATTAATATTTAACGAGCCAGGTGTGACAAGGAGTGTTTCAAAATTCCTTCTTTCACATAAGCCCCACAATAACCCTGTGGCGTAGTTATCTGTCCCCTATTTTAGGGATGGATAAAGACTCAGAGAGGTTAAGCGGCTTGCTCACGAGCAGAAGAAAAACACTCCCCGGACCACAGCGCACACACCCCCTTCGCCGCCCCGACTCACCCGGGTGATCGAAGTTGAACTGGCCCTTCAGGGCTTTGGCCTTCTGCTCCGAGGTGAGGACGCGGTAGAAGCTATCCTGGCTCACGATGACCACCTTCTTCTGGCGATAGTCCACCTCATTCTGCCCCAGGAGCTGCACGATCTTAGCGCAGACGGAGGACTGCAAGGAGAGAGAACAGCGGGGCATGAGAGGAGAGTCAGCGAGCTGAAGCACACTCTCTAGGGAAGGGCTTTGGAGGGAAGAAGCCAGAGGCTGCCGTCATGTATGATGAATTAAAAGGCTAAGACAGAAGGACTCGCCTGATACGCCTGCTGCAAGGGAGGTCTAGGGTTCCCAAACGTCCCTCCTCCCCTCCCGGGACCTGCAGTGATGGTGGGGGAAGGGGCGAGGTGAGCTCTACCTCTTCTTCCATAAAAGCCCTTCCCAAAGCCACTGATAAGAGGCAATGCTACTTTATTCTGCCCGCCTCTGCTCTGGTACAGGCAAACAAATAAGGCAGCAGAAAGTGGAACAAGGGCCTTGGCATCATGAGGTGATCAGGCCCAGTGGGACATGCCTCAGCCCTGCACATCTCTTTAGATCAACAGAATCAAAAAACACAGCCAGGGAGCTCAGCTAGTTAGCAGTAGGGCCAAGCTCGTGGCTTTAATCCTACTGCTGTTGGCTACTTTTGCTCTGGTCCATAGCCACGGACTTCTATGCCCTTAGAGTAAAACCACGCAGTGTTTTCACAAATGCGTGGCACCACTTACACAAGCAGGACAAGGGACACGAACATCACCAACACCTAAAACAGCTTCAGGGTATCCTAACTAAGAGTGGGGAAGCCAGTTCCAAACGAACTCCAACCCACATGCTTTGTGCTGTGTAGTGCTGTTAGTAATAATAGATACATATATCTCCCCTCTTTTTCTCTCCAATAACATATGCTCTTTGTGAAAGGAAAATTATAAAAACAAGCACATTCAAAAGAATGAGGTAGCAAAGGGTTATATTTATCAAACAATCGATTTCATTTTTTCGTTTGATACAAAGATTAATTTAAAAATAAGAATGTGTCATAAAAAAACTCTCAAAGACATAACCTAACCCTCCTTATGGAACTGGTTGACCTAATTATAAGAGATGAAAAAATAGCATATTTAGAGGTTTGGGAGCTCAACCTTACAAGCCTTACTATTGAACGTATTTTACCAAATGATTTTTAACAAAGAAAAACCACAAAATCTTTTAAAAGTTACAATTCTTACCAAGTTGCATATTTGATTTGTCTGAGCATGAGGAAAACTGGCCATTCCAGTTGTAGCAGTCAATGCAAATTAAACTGTTCTACACAATATGTCCTGTTGCACAAGTTGTGACATACAACCAAATAAGGATCTTCTGAGGAACAGTAATATTTTTACTCTGACGTTAATTATTTGAAAACAATTTCTTTTATTCTCATGACAATTTTGCATACTAACAGAGAAAAGCATTTAAAGCTACTCTGGAGTTTAGGACTGCAGATTCCTCCCCACTCCCCCACCAAAAAAAGTCACAGGAAGGTAAAACTTGCCCATGACAAACCAGATTCAAAAATGAAAATGAAATCAGATTTCAAAAATGAAAATCAAAGACTCTATACAATTATAAACTCTAAGTTTTTATACATCTGTAGACCCACAATTTCCTTTTCCTAACTGACATCTGCCTGGGGTTGCAGGGAGGTAAAGTCTATAACTGTAACCTTTACTAGTAGTAGACAGAATTCCTTTTACAAGTCCAAAAAACAAAAATGAAAAGAAGGATTCGTGGAGCCAGATGTATATCCTCTATCTGGTTATTCAAATTATATTATTTTTTATAGTTAAAACCCATAAATACTTTTAATACGAACAGTAATCCTATCACCACCAAAACAATATATATGTATATTAAAAAGTTACACTATCTCATTTTGCTGATGAACAATCATTTCCTTTAACCAGGGCATAACCTAGGACAGAATCTGCACAATGGCCAACAAAAACTGAGTCAATGAACCTAGACTTGGTTCAATTCTAGAAAGTTAGCACTCATCACAATTCTCGATCAGCAATACAGGATGGCCGGGCAGGATGGCTCATACCTGTAATCCTGGCACTTTGGGAGGCCGAGCAAGGAGGATGGCATGAGCCCAGGAGTTGAGGCTTCAGTGAACTACGCTGATGCCACTGCACGTTAGCCCAGGTAACAGAGGAAGACCATGTCCCCCCACCAAAAAAAGAAAAAAAAAAAAGTATGGCCTTTATTTTTGACCCACAGCTGCATATCTCAGTCCCGTGTTTTCAAGAAGGACCTGGCTGGTGACCCTTCCCTTCCACAAACACACCACCACTAACTGCTGACGCTGTAACTGATTACTTATTAGGTGGCAGGCCCTACGTCAACATTATAACCATCCTCAGAAGTCACATGTGCTCCCCTTCATGGATGAGGAAACAGAGCTAAAGGACTTGCCCACAATCAGACATTCCTGGCTCTTTGCCTCAACCTAGAGGTAGTAAGACGTCCCAAGGCAGAAGAAACCCTTTATCACTTAGGAGATAAATACAACTGCATGAACAAGCAAAGAAATACCTGCCTCTGGGTTAATCTAGATTTTTCAGGTATTTTCTTCCTCCTGGACTACGTTAGAAATGAGCCCTAAAAAAATGCAGATAACTGTTGGATCTGGGTGAAAGGTACACAGAGGTTGGTGATACCATTCTCCGCACTTTTGCACAGGTTTGAATTTTCACCCGGGAGAGAGGAAGGAGGAACCCTACAGAGGCTCTACTCTGACCCAGCGGATGGCCTTTTCCTTAGTTAATGCCCACCTCTTTGCAACTCCTTCACTTTAATTTCAGTGCTCCCCTTTTCCCTAATCCTGGTCCCCTCTTTCAAAAAGATGAAATGGAGCTTTGAGGTGTCGTCTTCTTCCCTTAGAGAAAGGAAATGATTCACTAATGACTGGGGTTTGGGAAGGCAATCATGAGCCAATAGAAACCTAAAAATGGTTCCCAACAGGCAGAAACGATAAGTACTCCAGGTGATAGACACCCTAAATACCCGACTTGATCATTATACATTCTATGCATGTAACAAGATATCACATGTACCCCATAAATATGTACAAATATTGGTCAATAAAAATATTTTTAAAATAATTTTTAAAAAGAAACCTCAAATGCGAGAGGCTGCCATTATTAGGGTGGATTAAGATTTAAAATGATTACAGTCACGAAAAGACAAATATCGTATGATTCCACTTACA